ACCTCACCCAACTAACCGATGACGGTAGTAGATGTAAACACTGCTCCATTCCGGCAAGGCTTGCTCATCTCCGAATACCTCCCGGAAATATTCACAGACGGAGTAAGCTTATGATCATCGACTCTGCTTTCTTGATTGTTTCTCGTCAGTCTTGCAGGCATGATATTGCATTTCTGGTTTATGACGAACAGTCTACTCCAAGTCGTAACTCACTCACGCTTCGTTTCCTAACCCCGTGTGTACGACGAATCGAAAGGGGAATTCTACAGTCGGGAATGCTAGGAACAAAGTCGACGTGCGCAGGACGAGATGGTACGGAGTCTTTCCCTTGGCCGCAGGAGGAAGAAACGGAGAGGAAATGCGTATATCAAAAGATGCGCCTGAGACAAGGGATGGTAATGTCAGAGACAAAACTCTTGCGAGATGCATGGTATAAAACCTACCTCTTTTTGCGAAGATGAGGGTGGCGCTGGGTGTTAGGGTGTAGGATATTTCGTAGAAGGTACTTGAGTAGACCACCGGCGTAGGCATTCTCCTTAGGGAAGTAATTCCCGCTCCTTAGTGTATATGCGCTCAGCGCCTCCTCCGATTCGAAACGCTCCACCGCCCTGCCTGATTTGCGGTTGTCGACTAGATCGACGAGATTGACGTATGTTCCTTTCACAGCCTTAAGATACAGTACAATCATAGTGAGCAAAGTTCCAGCCAGGTTGCGTGTACAGCTTACCTCGCGGCATGATCGCAGCTCCTCAGGTATAGGTACTATGTTCAGAACAAGGCACAGTGATTGCCATGATTCCAGGTCGTTCTCGTCAGTCCCATAAGTGCTGTTGAATGCTTGAACGAGAGCGTCTTTAAAAGCCTCTCTTTCCTCATCTTTCTCCTCGTCGTCCCAGCCGAGGTCGTCTACCATGCGATAGAACTCTTTCCATACTGGCTGATTTGCGTTATACGTGAACCCAGTCTCAGAGTACGATTTGAAGAACTCGTCGAGAGGATTCTCCGATGTCAATCGTGGAGCTAAGGGCTGTTTCACGGGTCAGCTTGCAACCACTCTCGGACAGGGTAGGTGCGGCTTACTTTAGCAGGCGCCTGAGATCCAGAGCCGCTGCGCGATATATGAGAGAACTTGCATAGAGTTCCGTATCTGCAAGTCCCAGACCACGCGAACTGACGACAAGTCCCAGCCTTCGGCGCCTTGACGGAGCCTTGAGCTGTGAAGCCGCTATCCAAAGCATGAGAGAACCTGCATCGGTCTTTGTAGTTGCAAGTGCGCGTGGAAGCGAATTGGTGGCATAGTCCTCTTGGTGTCATGGTGGAGCGAGGAAGGAATCATGGGATGGTGCTAAAGAAGCTTGCCTTGGACTTTATAGAGAACGAACACGTTTCAAGGCGCCTAAAGGATGCGTGTTGAAGGAGCCTTTACGCAGTAGGATCTCCGAAACCTTGTTTCACGGCGCTCAAGACGTAGAGGCTGTAGTGAATTTCCGTTCTTGGAGATTCCTGGCTTCTAGTAGAGTATTGCCTTTCGGCTTTTTCATTCTTGGGGAATATGTATGTGGAATTCGTTACGCGATGTAGAACATAGAGTTGCTAATTAACGTGTCATCACAGAACATGAGTCATGCACCACGGCCGTCGCACAGGTGTGACGATCTAAGGACAATATCAACTTTGACGAAATCGAGGCCTAGTATTGGGCTGGAAATATGATGTCTATGCAGAACCCAAGAAGGAAGGTACAATCAGCTCTAGCCCAAGGTGAGGCACAGCACAAAGTACCTGTCGAGGAGATGTTGCGCGAAGCGAACAAGCGAAATCCCAAGTCTAGGCATCGTGCACATCTGAATTCTGCTGTAGGACTTTCAGCGAGAGCAACTGGTCGACGAGACGTATGCTGAGCCTCTGGGCCGAGAGAATGGAAGTGATCAACCCCTTCGACTGGCCTCTGAATCTGGTGTCTAAATTCCGAAGATTATTCAGCAACGACGAGAAAGGAAGAGTACTACGACGTACATGTCTTTAACGTGGTCTATGACGTCCCGATGTTTCACGAAATTGTGAAAATGCACGGAGCAATGATTGCAGCTCCAAGCTTTATCTCCGGCGTGCGGGTATCTATCTTCACGGTGCAGGACGAGCGTCGTAACTTCGGGTGTCAAGAGATGCCAGGCATCCTTGGAGTGTTCGGCGTCTCCTTGCATGCGGACAGCATGGGTGATCTGCAGAACAACAATACCAGGTTAGAAAGCGAAGCGAGGAAAAGAGGAAAGGAAGTAGATACAAGTTCTCTCCAGGTATACACTGGATGTCCTCTGATGCCACGATAACCTTGTATAGGACACCGGGCGCAGATGAGTCTTGTTGCCAGTCGATCCATGTCAGATGTAGAGGCTGTGACTGGGTCAAGTCCGAGGAAAGATACCAACTCCGCCGATACTGTTGAGCCCGCAGTGCAAAGTATAAGGTTTGTATGCCCCTTGCTGACCAGCGTGGGGCAGCGCACATGCGCTCTGACATCGTCCCATCCGAATAAGCATAACCCATCGGCATTCTTGTTTTTACAATCAAGACAGGTGAATACGGACGTCGCGAGCTCAAGATCAGCGAACAGATGCATCACTGACGGCACCTCCAGATCCGGTAGCTGTGCTAGCAAGTGCCGAATTCTCTTTTGACGCCAATCAGTGAGATATTCCGGTAGCTTTGAAAGAGCGACGCCGCACGCGGCAACAGTGAGGTCGTTCTCTGACGTGTCGTTCAGCAGGGCGGAAAATTCCTCGTAATGAAGCAATTCTTCATAGTCTGGAAGCATATTCCAGCTCGATGGGGCCAGAGTTTGCTGGTATTCAAGATAGGCAGACTTGATTATTGGACCGCGCTTGGAAAGAAGTAACTTCCAAGCTTCGAGACGTTTTCGCTCTTTGATGGTAGCTATCAAGGCTTCTGCGACGGGCCTGACGTTTCTCCAAACTAATGCCCAGGATTAACCTTGGAAGCTATCAGATCCGTATGTTGACATACCTTGGCGCGTGAGTCTGCGAATTTCTGGCATGCTACTACTATAGAATAGCAAATTCTCCAACTCATGACTGATGATGTCGTCTGGATGGTGACCAAGGGCCAGCAACCGAGCTTCGACTCTGGTAGGGACTCTCATCAGAATAGTATTGGTACCAGATACATACAACATACCGTTTAACGATATGATCCCTCCGCACACGAATGTCGTACGTATTGATTTCCATGATGTTTTGAGCCCATATACTACATCTTTCGGCGTCCTGTCGATAATGTTATTCCAAGGATTCAGCTGGCGGGTGCTATCACATACTTTTAATAGATGGATAGCATGCCTCTGGGTCGCCTTCTTAAAATCCTCAAAAGCTTCTTCGGAGCCGACTTTGTCTTGTGCGATCTCGTTTTGTAGGACTTCAAGTTTCTGGGCAGTAGAAAGAAGGTCGCGCAGCATATATCGGCCATGCAGCCTGACCGATTGGAACTCATAATGGCCCCAATAATTACTTCCAGCTATATGTGCGCGTCAGAAATCGTGATTCCTATATATAATAAGAAGGTACAAACAAAATCTGGGGGTCGCGGGAACCAGATCCCAGACAAGGTTATTCTCTTCAAATGGCGCAACACTGCCGTCGGTCGGTACCCGGAACACACAGCTGCAGAGAATGCGATCAATCATCTCAGAAAGGAGAAGGCGAAGACGCACAGATGATTCAAGCATCTGGTACACAAATGACGGAGGAATGCAAAGTCAAGCATAGCGCCTGGCCTTGCACATTCCTGAACCATGGCGTTCAACGATCATACGCCACAGGAACTGAAATTTCTGGACTCACATCGCAGATCGCGGGCCCAAATAATAACGTAGCCCATCGGGGTTCTGACATATCTGTCGGACATTCAGGAATTGACGGGTGGCAAATGAAACATGTCTTCCAGAGGGATGCCGAGTTGGGTGCGAGGACCATCTTCCGCAGCGTCTTGTTGGTTTGCGCGATATGGTAAATATCGATTGGATGTAGGTGACCGAAAATCTGGGCGGTGAAATTTAGCCTTTAGTTTTCTACATGGCTCGGACTAGCTCAGACTAACCTCGAAGATCAGATCCAACGGAAAATCAAGAAAAATACTCAAATCCAACTTCTTCCTCTTCCCTGCTAGCTTTTGCCTCTCTTGGCGCATCGTAGTATTGGCAGTTACGTTCCCTATGAAAGCGAAAGTGCTCGAAAATCTGGCATTATTGACTGAATAGAAGCTCAACACTCACAAGCTAGATCATGGCCATCCAGATCGTCGTAAAAATCATCGTATCCAGTGACGGAGAGGGATTCATCACGCTCGGTTTCGAAAAGTGGCAGAAGACACAAATACTCGAGGTTGGCGGACCCCTTCGCGAATGCTTGTGGGCCGTCGACGCTGCCCCCCTTACCGGGTGACTCCATGTGGGGGCCGAGTTGGAGCGAACAGATAATAGCCGATGAGTGTCAACAGTCCTGAAGGAAGGTATGATGGGCCTCCTACTTATAGGCTTCATGAAGCAACAACAGTCAATCGGAGTCTGCAAAGCTGACATAGTCATCTCGGCTCTCGGTCGTCTTGTCAGTGTCAGTGTCCATCATTCATCACAGCGCTGGCAAGCCCAGTGTCATCATAGCTCACAGCTGTGATGGTCGCGCGCATGTAGTGGGTGCTTCTCGCAGAACGTAGCTAATGATTGAAATTCGGGTGGTGGTTGGATAGTTGGGCAGAGTTGCGCGTGTCAAGGCCGCGGCAACTCGAAAACAATGTCAACTATTTTCGCGTTGGTCCGGTCCGGGCTGGTCACTTGCATCAGCCGTGCCAGACTCAGTCGTTGTCATGACCAGCTTTCAAGCGTTGAAAGTAACCATGAGAGAGTAATCAGGTCCAGACAGTATATCTCCAGCACTGGGTGTATATAGAATTTCTGAAAGGAGCGAATCGGTTCCCCCCAAAAAAGTCTCTCTGCCTGGGAGTCGAACCCAGCTTTCGCGCGTACGCTGAAAGGGCGAATTTCTCGTCATGACAGGCGCGTGTACTAACCGATATACTAGCAAAGACATGCACATCGTTCAACGAGGAACATTTCTAATGTGTTAGATATATCTGACTTGGACCCTAGAATGAATGCGCTACCTATGGTAAATCTCAAATCCTTGAAGCACCACGACGTCCCGTACGAAACACCTGTGGCCCTAGCAGCATAAGTGACAGTGGCATTTGATTGCTAGGTGCCTTTTCAAGGCAATTATGATGGCTTCGACTCTAGGCTTGATGGCTCTCCAGAGTCAGACTGCGAATGAAGTATTTACTAATTTCCAATGTCAAAGAAGAAAGACATTGCAAACCTCAGCGTGTAAGTTTGTAAAATTCGGGTCGTGAATCGTTCAGTTAAGTACTTATAGGGGTTGCGAAGGTTGACGTCTTTTAGATCGTAATCACGTTGCATCATGCGAGCTTTGATCCTGACGATGATATGAGTTTCGGACGCTGCCCTAAAACAATCGAATTTTTCTCCAAAACCGACTTCGTCTTCCTCCACGTCGTTCCGCAGGGCGTGCATTTTCTGTGCAGTGGTCTGAACATCGCGTTAGGCATATCGTCCATTTTGCCCGACCGCGTGAAGTCTAGAATCGCCGCAATAACGGTTTTCGGCCACAAGGTTATGTGAACAGTTATGAAGCCGACTGATAGGTAATGAGCATGTATCGATTCTATGAGAAGCCAGTATAAGTCCAAATGAGGTGATGCACTTGGTACTGTACATGGCCTTCGTAACGCGGTACTTGGAGCGCGCAGCTGTGCCAAAGGGATAAGCCAACAAACGAAGCGACTGGAAAACTACCCACAAATTCCTGAGTAACTCGCACAGAAGTGCCAACGGAATACAAAATCGACTATAACATCAAACCTTCACACTCTTGAGCTCATGGCCTTGAGCAGGACTTAGAATAACGAGTTAGACAAGACTCACATCGCAAGTCGCTGGCCCAAACAACAAAGTCGCTTATTGTGGTTCTGGCGTATCTGGTGGGCATCCAGGGAGTGACTAGTGACGATTAGAGCAAGTTTTCCACGGAGATGCCTAGTTGTGAGGGAGAACCGCGGGACGTAAGTTCTTATTCGTCTGAGCGACATGATTCCGGATAACCTTCACTGAGGAGAAGAACTGACCTCAAGGGTTAATTCAGACGGAATGCTCAGGCTGAACTCCTCTTACGATTAGCTAGCCTTTTCCACTCTCGCTTCATCATCGCGTTGGCCATTACGTTCGCTGTGAAGCTGGTTCATTCAAAACCGTTGATGACGGACATAACGATAACTCACCAGTGACATATTCGAATTCAGAGGGAAGAAGGGGATTGCGTCGTACTTTGTCGTAGCCAGCAGTATCGGTAGCTGTGCAACAGTTTTCGTGATCCGCGTCAGAAAGTGGCGAAAGGCGTGAGTGCTCGAGGCCTTTTGACATAACGAAGAGCCCTCCGTGTTTGCCCATAGATTTGAAGCCCTGATCGACATGGTGGAATGCTTTGGTAACTATAAGTCTGTCAAGAAGCAATGGATTTCACTCACTTCAACGATGTCCAGGACACCTGACTCGGATGCTGTGATTCGCAGCTTTCAACCATAATTCATCATAGTGATACACACCGTTCAAGGATGTGACTTTAAAGAGGCATACAAATTCAAGACGACGCTCTGAGACCGAAATATAGATTGAAGTCAACGACATTGACCTGTTAGAGTGGTGAAGAACTCGGACGATTGATCGATTCGCCAAGCCTAGGCTGGTTGCCAAACATACCCATACATCGGTTCATTTACGGCTCGTGACGGTCCGCCGTCTGACCCTGCAACTTGTACCCTACCTCTATCGTATGTTGCCTGTCGCAATCTCAACATGGCCCGCCCTTCTCAAGGGAACGCTCAAGCTTATCGGCCTGATTGTTATTCCCAAACCTGTGAGTCCATAAGCACTAGGCCATGGCGTTCCCAGAGTATCCAGGATTCGTCGCTGAATAGATAACCTCTTGCGACACGTACAGGCGTTCATATTTCCAGGCTCAGATCCAAGGACTGCCATCCCCGTATACCGCACGAACGCACGAAACGCTATGACAAACGCCCCATTGACTCCCGTTAACAGTGCGTCTACTTCTAACTTTTTCATCTCGCGGTGGCATCCCTGGAACCCTTACACATGATCACCCGACCGGCTTCTTGGCGAGATGTCGAGGAACCCACACATTATCCCCGTCTACATAGTACTCACGCATTTGGTAGGCACAGCGTTGTCCCTCTTCGACCGATCGCAACTTGAATCTGTGGACAACACCAGCTATGGACCTATGAGCAGTACTCCGCACAAACCGGATCCTGAACGCAGCATACATCTCAGATCGAGGGTCCAAATTGAAAAAGAAGGATGTTGTTGCGCGTGTCATTGTCTGGCTCCATCCTCATCCCAGGGCCATGTCCGAGTCAGTCCTCCTCTCGCCATGTCCCGCTGTTCACCCCGCCATCGTCCTTGATTACGCACCTAACTCTATCCGTTCCAAACTACAGGGAAGTGGTCGATCTTTGAGTCCGGCGCACAGCCCAAGGCCTAGACGTGCTAGCTCCGTGAGTTTGGAGTTGTATCTCACATCTCAACATCATCGTGATCGCTGAAACACTTGAATGGAATACCAGACCAACACATCTTTCTCTTCCCCATCCCGTCGCCCATATAGGGAAAATAAAATATCCATAAGCGTGCGTATGTCTTCCCTCTCTATCGAAATCCATGACGCTAGATTCCTATTATCTGACGAGATCACCTTAGAACCCTGCACCGCGAACACCAACACGAAGCTCTATTTCCAAACACTACAAGGATCAACATAATCCCGCTCATGAGGTGCGAGTACCCAGCGGCCGTTAACCCTTACCAAAACCTGACCCGGTATCAGCTTCAAGATCATCAAAGACACAACTCCAGCCAGCTGGTAAGTCAGCTCCCGTCTTATTTTCTCGTATTATGTTCTCCCTATGTGATCGGTTCCACTGACACGCCCCCGTGATATGTTACCGATGTAGATGCGGCGCAACAAATTGAGTAAACCAAGGCCGAAGCCCAAAAAGTTGGGGCGGTGGGGCCAGTCCAAGGCACTGGCAGTGGCGCTGGCCGGCAAGGCCGCAGTGAGTCTTCCCATATGATATTTCATTCGTTTCGCCGCTTGCTCCCAGTTTCTCCATTCTTGATCCTCCTTTTTTATTCTTCTCTGACTTACAGCCATCGAGAATTTTGTATTGACCCCCTGTCCGACTTTAGGTACGCAAAAGCGGAAAGGAGAAAGAGAGCCTTATCAATTCAGACAGACCGATGGATGTGCCGATCCTCACGGACAGTGAAGCGCGTCGACGGTCCCTACGTAGGAGTAAGCGGATCGCCAGCTCGGCTATGGATGGGTCTGGCTTGGTTCACGCCCAAGTTCGTATCTTGCCCATCGATTTCCTCCACTGACGGTAATTCATATTCTATCTAGAGTATGAGAAGCAAAAGCAGCAACGCAAATGAAGCGAACGAGCAACAGGTGGCGGTACCGCAGTCGTTATATGAGTACAGTGCCAGCCTGAAGGTGTGTAGTTTTTCAACCTTCTATGTTCATTTCGGTCTTTGTCGACCCATCAACTCATATGTCTTGTATTCCATCTTCACCCCCCCTTCATTGATTCCTAACCGCTTAACCATGAATACAGGCGCAGAACCGTTCCCGATCCCAGTCCTTTGCAGGCCAATCGAGGTTCTTCGAGTTGGACCTCTCGCCTATCATCGAGGACGTGCTGACAAGGAACCCACCCCAAGCGCTCGCTCGCAGTGTCGTCATCAGGGGTGAGGGCGAAGGAAGATCCATACACTCATCCAGTGATGAGATCTCCCCTCGGAGTTGCTCGAGCTTTGGGGAAGTCTTGGCCTCTACGGTGGGTTTTATTATGTTGTTCATTCACGCTGCTGGCTTTTCTCTGTGCTGGCGCCTCAGATTGATGGCGCGCGATGTTGAGGTCATGCACGCGTCATTGTTGAATGTCTTTCGGGACGATTTTGGTCCCGTCTAACCTTGATCATTGCAAGCGCATTTGTCGGAGGCGTTAGCAGCGCAACTGACCTTTCCAAATGGTCCACGACCTTACCCTTCGATCCGCCTTCGGGCTTCTGCTCATGCTTGCACTCCGTGTTTCAAGCATTCCTTGGACTCCTGTTCTGGTTATTCAATGGATATGTGGCCTGCGCTCCCGATCAAGAACTTCTAGATCGATGACCACACGGCTTAACTGCTATCTTCTATTTTTGTTATAGCCGAATCAAGCGGGACCACCAGGACACCCGTGCACGTTTAGTTGTTCAGAAGACTCCGAAACTGGCGAGTCGAAGGCCTTCATGCATCCCAGAAGTTTATTGATAGGTACGTATACTTACGTGTCCGGCTTTCTTGACCATTAAAGCTAAAGGCTGGTAACTTCGTCTCTGCAGACTTGTCGAAAACGAATACAGATGGAGATGCAAGCGCGGGTGCAGAGCGGAAAGGCGCTCCGAGTCCCAAGCTAGTGGACGACATCGTGACTTTGATTCCGGATGTGATCCTGACCTCGCCGACGCCCGACCTCTCCAAAGCTTCACCCGTGTTCACCCAGTATGAGCCCGGCACCGTCCTCTCAAGGCAAATAGGGCAGACGCCAGGTCTAGCGCCTTATCCCCATCTCCGACACGCGTTTGAAGAGTATCAAGGACTGCGAGGCCCACATGTGATTTCGGCTTCGGGACCCAACGGATTGGGCCTTCAAGTTCCTCTAGGCGTAGCAGTAGACGAGATGGGTACGATGCTGCCTAGGCCTCATGGTGCGCATGATAGGGTTGGGCTCGTGATGGACCAAGGTTATGCTTATACTTCGAGGGCTGCGCTGTTTCGTGCTGGTATGGATCGTAGCGGGCGTGGTCGGCGTGCTTGGGATGCTCTTTCAAACTTCTTTTCGAAAGGACGAAGACGCTTGACTGCTGTTACTGTGACTGTGGCTGTGG